TCTACTAGCCATTGAATATACCCAGTCGACTCGGGTTGATATCCCGAATCGACTGGGGAAGTCTTGAAGCTCATGGACCTCGACGGCTCCAGTACACTTCAATATATCGAAAGAAGGTTGTTAAGGATAAGAAGGAAGCCATCAAAGATAAGGAAGGATCTAGATGGTGACTAGGAAGTGGATGGAATGCGAACCGACCAGAGTATTTTGGACATTTCCAGTAAGTCGGCCAGGGCATTTTGGGGACTTCAGGTAAATGTTTTACTTCTATATAAAGGAGCTGAGGTAACTCTAAAACCCTAACTCCCATTCATTCTACATTCTTCTCCATTACTGCTGCTGCTCTCTGAGCAGCTCTCTTCATCTCTTTCACATACTGACTTGAGCGTCGGAGGCTCTACGCCGGAAATTCCTCCGGCGTTGAGTTCTTGCAGGTGTTCTCGAGGTTCAGCAGCGGTTTGGAGGCTATCGAGTCAGATCTGAGCTCATTCCCATCGATTCATTCCAAATCTGGGCGATTTCTCATCGGTTCGCTCCAGATCTGAGAGGAGACCCATCAATATTGTAAGTTAAAAAAATTAGTATAATATAACACAAGTAAGTTGCACAAATAAAAAGTGTCATAATAAATATATAATAATATATATAATCTTATAAAAGGTATTTAAATTTTCAAACTACTTTTTCTCATTAATTTTAAATTTTAAGAAAAAAATTAGCAAGCACCCGTGTAATACACGGGTGTTGTACTAGTTACTATATATTTTAGAATGATATGTGTTACTTATGACTTACATGTGTTATATGATATTAGTTTTTATAAATTATATCATATAACTACTTGAAATATAAATATATTAGTTGATAAATAATTTTATTTTTCTAATTAATATTAATGTTATAAAGATAAATATAAATTATTTTTTTTATACATACAATATGGATGCTAAATCGAAGCTCATCAAAAGAAGATTAATTTGATATATTACATATGTAAAACTGATAAAAAATACAAAAGTTATTAACTTTTAAAATATATATATAATCTATACTTATATAAAAAGACATTCTATTTACTAGAATTAGTAGTAAGAAAAGTCAAAGGTAATTAATGCATTCTATTTACATCAAGTATTTTATTTAATTATTTTAGTTATTTGTTTCATCTCATAACACGTTTTCGATACAACTTACCATGATTTTTCTATTGTGATAAAAAAAAATCAAATTTTAGGTTTAAAATCTTGTGAAATTATTATTATTATTTTTATAAAGCAGATATCATTTGTTAATATATATATATATATATATATATATATATATATATATAATACACATCACAGTACCATGATAGATAATTTAAATTTCAACCGACCAAAATGCCAATGATTTAAATTTGAACACACCTGTGTGTTTGACCAAATGTCTGAATGATTTAAAATTGAGCCCATAAAAAATTATTTAAATTTGAACACACCAGAAATTTATGTACTTTTTATTTATAAATATATTGAAAGTGGTATGTAATGGCTATTATATAAACTATTTTAATATATTTGCAATGAATAAAAGTTTGAATGAATAATTTGTAATGTTATTCATAATGTTTGTGACTTATGATACACGAACACATAACTTCATACATATTTGCCAAAGGGCGGCTTAATAATTTTTTAGACTTAACGTTGATTAAAAGAGGTAGAAAATATCAAAATAGATAATAACATTATTACTTTTTAGACTTAAACATACAAGGCTGTGAAACTAACTCATTTAATATTCAATAGTTATAATAAGGAATGATATTAAAATACAATTAATACATGTAACATGACCATAAATAATCAACATATTTATAGTAATCTGAACCTAATTATTTTTGGTTTGGAATTAAATTAAAATTTAACCAAACCTAATAACGAAGCATGTAAGTTTGCCACATAAGATTCTGAAACACCAGAAGCAGTCACGTGGGCTCAGCGTTCTAGATTAACATATAGGGGAGGTGATTATTATAAATGATCTATAAGATTTTTTTCATATACCACTTGCAACCTTTAGAATTTTTTTTATCACTACAAATTTATATATGATATCTAAAAGGTAGCGCTTTTTTATCACAACACATTTATATATGACATCTAAAAGGTAATAATAAAAAATCTCTACGGTAATATATCAATCATTGACTCACTACTAAAGTGAAATGAGCATCTGTAATGCATTCTTTTGAAAGAATACAAAGTTATCCATCTCATCTTGATGAAAGTGTGTACATAATTTATCCTCCAATGCATTAAATTATGGGCTCTTTCATGTTTATGTGTAAAAAATTAATGTTAACATTGTCAAATTCAATTTCTAATTTCTCACATTCTTTCTAACATGATAACTAAGCATTTGAGTAATTATTTGCACAAATTATGGTAAATTTGGAGCTTTTTATAAATTTGAAAAAATCCCACTCTTCCATTAATTCAATAAATATTTTGATAATTTATATGTATACAATAGAATCATCTAATAACGAGTTACAACTAAATTTTTTTTAAAAGAAAAAACTGAAAAATATAATATTTTGTTCATTATATTTGTTTGTTGAGTTTTTCGCAATTTTTATATTTTGTGGTTTTCTTCTAAAAGGATTAAAAAAATATTAATTGTGTGGTTATACATATTGTAAATGAAAAATTACTAATAAATAATAATTGTATAAATTTGACGATATAAATAAAAAAAACTAAATTAACAAAAACAAAAAACATCATGCATATAATTATAGGGATTTGTGGTTTTTTCCTAATATACACTTTTACTTTATTAATAAATGAATAAATCCACATATACAAATTGTATGGTTGTTGAATGGATGCATTGGAGGTAACAATCTATATATATATATATAATTGCTAGCATATAGCATTTAATAAAACCTATTTAATAAAACCTCTAAACTTTTCCCTCCATTTTCAGTTACAAAATTTATCATTAATATTTTTTTATTCCTCACATTAATACATCCTATTGAGTGTAATTATCTATGTTTTTATTATATAATATAATAATTATTGTTAATACCAACTAATAATAATTCACAATAAAATATAAAAACAATTGCTTCAAGTTATTTATTTTAACATCAATATTATCTTTTTCTTTGTACCTCATGAATTTTTTTTTAAAAACAATTATTAAATTGTTTTAATATGATAGTCAAACAACTTTAGAAGCTTATAAACAATTGTTTTTTAATAATAATAATAATAATAATCAAATTATTATTATCTACTGATAATAAACAATTGTTCATAATAATAAAATCGTTAATTTATTTTTCCTAATAATAAAATTTTTGAAAATGTAATATGTTCATTATCTAGAATTTTAATATTAAATTCTCAAATATTACTTATAATATTTTATTTACACATGTGCATGTGCACAGGATATCTACTAGTTCAAATGAAAGTCCTAATATTTTAACATTCAATTCATGTAAATTAAACATTATTCCATTAATTGACATATGTGTTCAAATTTAATTAATGTTGAAAGTTGCACAAAAATCTCGGCGTTCAAAGAAAGGAATATCAACAAGTGGATCAATGTCGACATAGCTTCAACATTCACATATGTGATCTGCCTACATATACAACAAGCATATCGACAGTTTTTATGTTCAGCACAAAGCGGGGAATTA